ATAAGAGATATAAACCGCTAGCGAAATTCCTCCCTTTGTTATGAGATATTGAAAAAAAGGGTGCATAACATTCAGGCTATTAGAAAAAAAAAGTTAGTAAGAACTCCTCCCTATTCAATCAGTTTATGCTTGAGAATTAATACAGCAGGGATCGTAGCACAATAGTGTCAGAAATCTCCATGACCTCCAGCTTAAAAAAATCCTTGACCAATTTAACTACATTATTTATAGGACTTCGGGGAGAAAAAAATCTCGTGCTCTATCATATCAAAGTCAAATTTATTTATAATAAAAAATATGCAACTGAATCATATTTAAAAATTTATTCGCTACATGTAATACAGATATTTAAATTGTTTCCATTTATTCTATTAAGAGCTGCATATGTAATGATTTTTTTTTTTTGCATTGGGAATAAAATTAAAATAAAATATAAAATGGCTGCATTTTTTTAATACAAATTTTTAATTTTAATAGTTTAGCAAGAAAATCCAGTTAAAAATTGTTAGTAGTTAGGCGATATTTTTGCTTTTAAAACAAGCTATTTTTTTTTTTTTCCAGGACACTAAGAAGCGATCATAAATTATAATTTAAACTGTTAGAATATTGTGAATGTAATTCATGCATTTTTATTTTTTTAAAAAACAAAATAATAATTTAATAAAATGATTTAATTTTTTTACACAAATTTTTAATTCTAATAGTTTAATAAATTTTAAATATAGTTTCATAGTTTTTTGACAGTTAAAAATTAATATGCTCAATAATCTTCTACAGCATGGCATAAAAATTATTAGCAGTTTGGCGATATTTTTGCTTTTAAAACAAGTTGTTCTTTTATTTCCAGGATATTGTAAAACGATCATAAATTGCTAGAATATATTATATTTCATGCATTTTATTTTTAAAAAAAACACAATAAAATATAAAATGGCTAAATATTTTAACACAATCTTTTAATTTTAATAGTTTGGTATGAAAAATCCAGTTAAACATTATTGTGTTCAATAATCTTCTACAGCACGGCATAAAATTATCAGCAGTTTGCCGATATTTTTGCTTTTAAAACAAGCTGTTTTTATTTCCAGGAAATAGTAAGACGATCATAAATTATAACTTAAACTGTTACTTTGTGAATGTAATTCATGCATTTTATTTTTTTAAAAAAATACAATAAAATATAAAACAGCTTAATTTTTTAACAGAAATTTTTAATTTTAACAGTTTGGCAACAAACATCCAGTTAAGCAATTTTAAGTTCAATAATCTTCTACAGCAAGGCCTAAAAATTGTCAGTAGTTTGGCGATATTTTTACTTTTTTTTTTTTTTTTATTTCTAGGACATTATAAAATGATCATAAACTGTTAGAATATTGTGAATGTAATTCATGCATTTTATTTTTTTAAAAAATACAATAAAATATAAAACAGCTTAATTTTTAATACAAATTTTTAATTTTAACTGTTTGGCAACAAATCCAGTTAAGCAATTTTACGTTCAATAATCTTCTACAGCAAGGCCAAAAATTGTCAGTAGTTTGGCGATATTTTTACTTTTTTTTTTTTTATTTCTAGGACATTATAAAATGATCATAGACTGTTAGAATATTGTGAATGTAATTCATGCATTTTATTTTTTTAAAAAAATACAATAAAATAAATTTTTAATACAAATTTTTTTTAAAAACAAACAGTTAAAATTTTACGTTCAATAATCTTCTACAGCAAGGCCAAAAAATTGTAGTAGTTTGATATTTTTACTTTTTTTTTTTTATTTCTAGGACATTATAAAATGATCATTTTAATTTTGAATGTAATTCATGCATTTTATTTAAAAAAATTGTGTTTTTTTAAAAAACACAAAATATAAAAGAAATGTTTTAACACAAATTTTTAATTTTAATAGTTTGGTACGAAAAAGTTAGTTATCATGTTCAATAATCTTCTACAGCACGGCATAAAAAAGTATTAATAGTTTTGCGTTATTTTTGTTTTTAAAACAAACTATTTTTTACTTTCAGGAAATTGATTATAACTTGAATTGTTAGAATATTGTGAATGAAATTCATGTATTTTTATTTAAAAAAAAAAAAAAAAAAAAACGTTGAAATAAAATACAGTTTTATGGAAAAAAATATTTATATTCAAGAAAGAATAACTTAATTAAAAAAATTTTTTTTTATACTTTAGTAAATAACTGCAGTGTATAACTGCTAGTATTATCTTTACATTTCGCTCGTCACAAAGATATTAAATTACACGTTCTGAAATTTATTATTTTGCACGACATGTCTCCTGACAGTTTAACGAGTTAATGAAAGGATGTCCAAAGGCGGAACCCAGAAAGGAATTCCACTGTATGCAATGCCTTCCCTACTGTAGGTCTTCAAGACAGTCATGACAGCATGTCACGCTGGAGTAATTTTAATTGCATGCTAATTTGTGCGGCATGCGCATAAGCAAAGAACTCTAAAATAGTAGACTTTATTTTTTTCTGCTAAAGATCACGATCATGACATGCGTGGAAGCCAAAGCAAACAATGTTGACATTCGCTAACACAAATAACAATGCTAACTATCATTATTTGAAGAAACAATGCTGGCATTCGTCATCCACGGAAGCAAAAAGCAAAACAACTTCAATTGCTGATTACACATGCCAGTTGGTTCTCAGAGATACAATGCACGAACTTATTCAGTAAATAACAGCTTATATACAAAGCGCCAAATTAACAATTATTTGTACTTGCTCTAAACATGCAACCGTGCAATAACGATAAAAATGATTTTTTTTTTTTTATTTATCACAAAATAGTACAATCCAAAGAAAACAAGCAGGTATTAAAATTATTTTATAAATATTAAAAAAAGATATAACAAAACTAACTTTCTTACTAAAACAGTCTATCAATCAGTTCTATTAGGAAAAGTTTCGGCGAATGAGAATTCAGACTATATTGTATTGAATAAGAGAAACATTTTTGCGACAAAATATAACAAAACTAATTTTCTTGTTAAAAAAATCTATCAATTTCTTGTTAAAACAGTCTATCAATCAGACCTAATAGGAAAAATTTTGCAACAAATATACTGAAACTAACATTCTTGCTAAAGAAATCTACCAATTTCTTGTTGACATAGTTTATCCATCAGTCCTATTAGGAAAAATTTGGGCGAAGCAGAATTCAGACAATATTGTACAGAATAAACGAAAAGCTTTTGCGACATAATATAAGGAAATTAACTTTCTTCCTAAAAAAATCTATCAATTTCTTGTTAAAACAACCCGTCCTATTAGGAAAACTTTCAGCGAACGAGTGCGAAAATGAGAATTACGACTATATTGTAATGAATAAGCGAAAAACTTTTGCAACAAAATACAATGAAACTAACTTTCTTGCAAAAAAAAATCTATCAATTTCTTGTTAAAACAGTCTATCCATCAGTCTTATTAGAAAAATTTCAGCCAATGAGAATTCAGGAATTATATTGTATTAAATATAGCGACACATTTTCTACATTGTATTAAACGACGCACATTATATTAAATATCAAAATATTTTATATTAAATACATAAAAGATATAAAAAATTTTTCTTTCATTTAATACACATATGATATTGGGGGTCTGAATAGCCGAGTGTTTAGTGCTTTGTATCACAGGTTTCGGTTCGAGTACCGGGCGTGCCGTGGATGTTGGTAGTGGTTCGGAATCCACTTTAAACAGTAGGTCCCGGTGTAATATGATCGTAGAGCGTTTCTTGAGGTTTAGCAGTCTTCAGCCTTCGTGGTTCCTCGCTAAAGTGAAGCTGCATATTACCCCTTAGTCATGGTCCAGTCGCCTGCGACGGGTTCTTCAGGACCTGGTGTAGACTTTCCTACACCAGGGGATTAGTAACAACAACATCATATGATATTTAATTTTTGAAAATCTTACTTTCCTTATTATTTATATATACGTTGAAACTGATACAAAATTATTTTTACAAGAAAGGGGTTTCATCAAAATTGACAATTCCATTATCTCTCATTAACTTGCCTACATGCCAGTACATGCAATAAATATCCTTTGTAAGCCAACGAAATCAAAATATTAAAACAAATTACTTTTTTATTAAATAAAATTGTGTTACAAAAATTTCCATTGAAGCAAGAAGAAATATACATAAGCATTAATGCATCGCTATCATCAGGCATAAAAAGAACAACAAGAAGAAACTGTATAACATTTTCTACAGATTTGGCGTCAGCCAACTGTGGCGAGCCGAATTATCCCTGTGTGACGCTTATATCGTGACAGTTTTCAATAAGAACCAATAATCCACGATATCACGCTATGGAAGACATTAAGGGAGAAATAGCATACTATTACAAAAAATACGCTTCCTGCTTGAGTGATATCGTTAAATAGCACGCTATATTGGTTCCGATGAATATACAAATGTATTAAAGATAACGTACATACTGACTTTGATTACAGTAAATCATTTCATTTCGTTTTGGATAACGCTTAAGAATTACGTGCTAAACAATTAACATGGTCATAACGAGCCCAGAAGAAATGCAAATGATAAATATAACATGGTTTGAGCTTAATTGTTTTTTTTTTTTAAATAGTTTACTTGATTTTTGACGAAAAATTCAAACTTAAATCACAAGAGCAACGAAAAAATGATATATCAGATAATAGTAATAGATATATCAAAATAACATTTAAAATGCAAACTACCCTTGAGGTCTTCTTCTCGACTGGCGCAACAAACCCAAGGAGGGCCAAGACCATCTATCTACCTATTGGCAGATTTCGGGACAGGAGATGCTTACTTTTTTACAGGGTAGGGTTGTCAACCCTAAAGTCATATTAGACCGAGACCTACGGTTTAAAGTGGATTCCGAACCACTACAAACATTCATGGCACTGGCCGGACTCGTACTGAAACCTGTGGTACAGAACGCCAGAGCACTAGTCACACCGTCATCAGGCCTCAAAAACAAAGCAACGCCCCCAGGTCGGCTCGGACCACCATCCTTTTGGTTAACAGCCGAACGCGCTGGCCAACTGCGCTACGGAGGCGAAATGGAATTCTAACTAACTAACCCTCTGGCACTGCATGCCATGGTGGGCCGTGGTCATCTGACGATTTCGAGACGGAGATGGTTTCTTTCTACAGGGTAGGATTATCCTCTGTATGCCCAATGCTCTACAGTCATATTAGACCGGAAGTCAAACTGAAACCTGTGGTTGATGTGATAGCGGGATACTTGTTGCAGTTATTGTCTCTATTTTTCTGTTAATTGTGCACAAAACGCCAGAAAGCTAGTTACTCTACCATCAGGCCCCATACTTGAGTTACTGGACAAAAAAAATGAAATAAAACATAAAATAACAGCTTAATTCAATTACAATATCCTATAAAATATGACTAAATAGTAAAACTTCTTAAATACACACTACATTGTAAAGTCCAGTATAAACCTGTAAATCATAATGCAATTAAAATTTAAATATGTCTATAAAAAAGATTACAGCCTTTAATTTATTATTAAAAAAACAACTATACAAAACAAAGAAATATCAATTTGCCAGAAACCCGATTTCCGAGAATTTAAAAAACGCAACGACTTCCTGTGTGAAAAACCATCATGAAGAAATCGAAAACTTATTCGAGTGTGACTTTAAACAGTCCAACCCACTACACAATTCACAATTTAATTTTCCTAACACATCAAAATTTAATCAGAATGACAATAAACAAAAAAATCAATAAATAAATCCTACAAATATACAACCAAATCAGTACATATTATTAAAAACTTGTGCACAATTAACAGGAAAAAAAAAAAAAAGTTAGCGACTGCAACAAGTGTCCCGCAATCACAGGTCCCCCCTTCCCCCCAAAACCGGATTCCCAATAACAAATCATCATCATCAATCGATGATGACCTTGAGATGGAACGAAGGGAGACCCACCACTGTCACGTAACAGTGTCGGAACACAATAGAAAAACAGCAAAGTTTTTTCCATCCATCCTCAAACGCAATACGCATACTCATTTCTGCAACCTGGTCAGTAGTACCAATTAAAAAGGGCACTCACAACTGACTAGAATGAGAAATGGCCAGTAAACAAGCAAGTGAGCGCAGATTATGGTGCTCTTCCGGTGCTTGAGAATGGGGGTGTATTCCGTTCCAAACTTTAATCGCCATTATTCAGAAGTAAAATGAAATGCGCTTCAATTCAAAGCACGAAAACAATTATTTGGGGCCCCAGAAATAAGAAAAGGAACGTGACGTTTCGCCTTTGACGGCTTTTGTTTGGCGGGCTACTCGAGTGGGGTTCGATTTCACTGGGAATCTTATCCATTACTGGGAAGTTATTTATTTATTTATTAAATTAACTGACCCAGGCTGACCGAAGTGGAACACACGACTGAATTGAGATGGGGGAGAGAGAAAAAAAAATTAAGTTATGTGATCCCATTTTCGTTATTTCACGAACAGAAACTGATTTAAAAAAAATAAATTATCAAGTTTAACGTTGTTCTATTTGCGCGATAACCCTCATAAATTTTAAGATAACCAAAGATAAGAATAAATTAACAAATTATAAATTAATTGGTTGTTTTTTTTTTAAATATAAACGATAGGGTCAGGGTCTGATGAGAACAGCCGAGTCAATACAGGATAAGTTACTATTACTTCACAAATTAAACAAATTTACGTTAAGAAAAAAAAACATTCATAATTACATTATTACTCTCACTTACTGTATCCTCTGTATATTCATAATTACAATTATACTAGCATATAGCACTAACGTAAAAAACATATAAAATAAAAATGTAAGACTTCAAGAAAAATTTCGCAAATGGGAATAGTTTTTTTTTAATATTCAAAAATATTTACTTAATTAAGGTATTTAATATTAATATCTATTATTTCATCTAAGGTATCTAATTAAATATAATTATTTAAATAGTTACGTATTTGGCCTAAATGGATGAGCGACTAGTGTTCTGGCACTCGGTGCGACGGATTTTGGGATTGATGGTCATGGATGTGTGTATTGGTTCAGAATCCGCTTTAAACTGTAGGTCTAGGACCAATAAGACTGTTGGGCGTAGGGCTGACAACCCTACCCCGTAAAAGAAAGCATCCACTGTCTCGAAATCTATCAGCAGGCAGACGGCCTTGGCCCACCAAAGGGCTGTTGCGCCAATGAAGAAGTTATGTATTTATTATTCTTTCTAATAAAATTTTTGTTAGGCATAATTTTTTTAAAATTCCAAAATTTGTAGGGAACTTTCAAGTTATGAAATATTAGATATTACTCCCTTGACGAATCATCTGAATAAGGAATTTTAAGATTTTCTAAGTTGTGAAAAATTGTGATTACGCATGAATTCACTTGTATAACTTGAATTAACATAAATCAATTTAAATACTTTTTGAATACATTATATTACGTAATTTGCTTGAGCACAATTGAGCGCAATTTTGAAGCACAAGATAAAAAAACTCTGAACTCTGTAGCATGAATTGATTACAGACCTACACTTATCGCGCTACAGCCTTAACATGTTATCTAAAGGTAATTTATTAGCACGAGATACGGTAATCAGCAGAAAAATTAAAATTAGGAAGTTACGAGAATTTAAAGAATTTTTCATTTAACAATGAGGGTTAAATTAATGTATAATTTGTCCATTTAGATATTTCACACTTATAAATAAAGATAAAACGGTATAGAAAAAGATGTGAATATCATTTCACCTTTTACAATTACTTCAACAAAATTTACTGCTATCTTTACAATTGCCCATTTAGAACAAAACAATTGTCTAATTCTATAAGTTGAATGGGTAGGTTGTGGCTATCAAACTTAAAAGAGCCCAATACATAATCTATGCAGAGTATCAGTTCCGGACCATATCGATAACCACTTCACATGTGCGCGAACGCCCACAGTTTGAAGGCGTCTATTGGACAGCTAAATTCCAACCTAAATAGATAGCTAGCTAGATACAGAGAGCAGCACTATTATTTCCAGCTGTAGTAGGGAAAAAAATTATTGTGCCGTCTGATACGCCTACAGAAGAGATTATTGAACACTTTCTAAACAGTATCAGCAGATCAGACGGCAGTTCTATCTGTAAAACAGTCGATTCAATTGAATTCTTCTGTGCGTGAAGAACCTACATGATTACTTATCAGAGTTATGAGCAAATTTCAAATAAATATTACATAATTAACATACATGAAGTTTATATTTTAGAGACATAAGAATATGTTTCGTGATTGTAATATCATTTTCTTTTCTGAAATGCAGAGCTTTGTGAAAATAAGAGGAGGCGAATATTTTTTTTTAAATATTCTAAGATATGGAAAAAAAAAAAAAAAAAAAAAAATGAGATTTTAAAGATTAAAAGATTATTTTATTATTTTTAAAGATTTTAAGATTTTAAAATAATTTGTATATGATTTTCGAATATCTCGAAAGCTAACAGTGTTATCAACATAATACATTTTCTCATAAAAACTAATGTGACTAAAACATATTTAAATCAGGTTTCTTTCAAAGTTTGGTTTGGTTTCGATCATTTTCGCACATTTTTAGGCTAATTAGACTGGGACTTACAGTATAACGTGAATTCTGAACCACTAATAAACATCCATACCAGCGCCAGGATTCGAACATGAAGCCAGTGGTATCAACGGCCAGAGTGCTACATAATTGGCCATCAGGGAAATTGGCCTTTCTTCAAGGAAAGAAAGCCATATATTAATTTTCTATTTCAATAAAATAAAATTAATTTCACTAAATTCTTATAAATAATAATACTACATATAAAAATAAAGAATTGTGATCAATTATAAGGGGCCTGATGGCCGAGTGAATGGCACTCGGTGCACAGGTTTCGAGTTCGAGTTCCGGCAGGGCCATGGATGTTTGCAGTAGTTCGGAATCAATTTAAATTATATGTTCCGGTCTAATATGACTGCAGAGCGTTGGGCGTAGGGCTGACAACTCCAACCCGTGAAAAGAAAAATATTTGTCTAAAAATCTGCCAGTAGGAGACTGCCTTAGCTTTCCTTGGGACTGCCGCGCCAATGATGATGATGATCCATTATAATGAGTCCGATGGCCGAGTGACTAAGTGCTCGGTATACATAGGTTTTGGGTTCGAGTCCCGGCGGTGCAATGGATGTCTGTAATGGTTCGGAATGCACTTTAAACCGAAGTTTCAGTAGAGCATTGGCTAACAACCCTAAACGTAAAAGAAAAACATCTCCTGTCTCGAAATCTGCCAGCAGCCAGACGATGATCTTGGCCCACCATGGAGGTATTGCGACAATGTAGAAGAAGAAAATCAATTACAATTTCCTGTTTAAGTTGAAAATAATGAATTAATTCTATTGGAATGAATACCTATTCAAAAATGAAATATTAAAATATTATTCAATAGTCAATTAAAAACCATCATGGGTGTTAGTCTTCTTTGAGATTGCGCGTCGTCTAGTGAAAAAGATAAGATCGAATTCCTTTTACAGGCAGCAGGACAGTAAACAGATCATTAGATGGTTTATCATTCAAATTTCGCTATTATGATTTGGCCATTAACTAAATGGAGAAATGCCAAATCTGTTAGCCTAATGATTTTTACTAATAAATAGCCAATGCTAAAAATGTATACATTAAGAAAGTAATTTAAAATAGCAATTGTAATTTGCAATGCATAATTTAATTCACTATACTATTAGGAAACATGAAAGAAATGACAGTTCAAGCCTTTATAATCACTTTTAAAGTGTCAAGAAATATTTTAATGAATGAAGCGATAGCTAAAATTAATAAACATTATGCAAAACGAAAAGTTAATTAATTAAAACAGCTTTCAAAAACCCAATTAGTAATTTTAAATAGGTGAGAAGAAGTTTTAAGACCATAAATATATTCCTCTATTGAAGGCGGGCAAATCTAGTGAATTATTTAAACAGATCGATCAATTAATATCACTGATACGGTTAGCATTGACCAAATTTAAGTGCATAAATTACTATTCGAAAATGGA